TGTACCAGAAATTAAAAGAGTTCCTTGGCAATATAAATTGAACCTCAAAGCAGAGATAAACTTACTATTAAGTAAGTATCAAAATTTATCACAATCTGGACGGCAATCAAACACTGGTGTACAATATTATCAGCATCAACCGTCAGAAAGCGATGGTAATTTTACCCAGTTTATTCATCAACCTCAACAGCTACTTCCTACATCAGACTACAGCCAGATACCTCCAAACTATATGAGCTCTTCAGAGCACTATCGTCAACATTTCACTAGGACACAGCCTACTACATCCCAAATATTTCAACCAGATCCACAACATACATACATAAATCAATCATACACAATTGCAACATCAGGCACAATGGGGAATGATCAAATACCACAGACTTCAACCGATTTATTGTCACAACCTGACATACAAAGTTCTCCACAAAATCTAGCTTCCACACACAGGGATGGGCAAGATACTCAAAAATCAGTATCGAGATAGTAGATACTAGATACCTGAATTTGGAGTATCGAGATACTAGATACTCGATACTTGGCTCTAGAGTATCGCGATACTAGATACTCGATACTTAGCTTTGGACTATCGCGATACTCGATACTCGATACTCGATACTCAATACATTTTAATAAAATTAGTCACTGGATTTTTAAAAATTATGTTTATTATTGTGGGTATGGCCACTTCATTAAGTAATTAGAATGAAAAATAAAATAAAAAACATTGACACTTTCAGTAATAATAATACATAAGTAATAAAACAAAATAAAATAAATCAATTACGACATTACGTAGGTAATCTTGTTATCGTCTACGATTCTACCAAAAATAACCACAATACGATTTCATAACAATTAAATAATAATAATTCTACATTAAAAATTATATTTACTTGGTATTGTCGTATTGAATTATATAAATAATAAAAATAATTTTAGTATAATAAAAATTTAATTTCAATAGTATACAAAAATTTCAATAGTATAATAGTAACATAACATCATTCATTTATATAGTTAATTTATCTTTGTTTCCTTTTAAAAATACAAGTTTTTCGAAGGTTATATCAGATAATTTATTTCTGGTAGGATTATTAATAAATCCTGCCATGGAAAACATTCGTTCTACGGGTGCTGAGGAGCATAAGCTGGTATTAAATCTAATAAAAAGTTTTTTTATAATTGGATAATTGTTTAGAATATTTAACGATTTAGCCTTATCATTAAAAAAAGTAACTACTTCCAGATCGGCTTTTTTAATGGTTTTAGCTTCTGGTTGCGATGAATAAACAATAAAATTGTCGTCATCTTCATCGCTAGAATTTGAATTATTAGTAATATCATTATTAAAAATATTTTCTGCAGCATTTATACATAGGTTTTGAATTCTATTTTTTTCGTTGTCATATTCATTAGAGATCCATCTTAATTTATAACATGGATGAAAACAAGTTGCTAAAATAGCTTCATTTATACTGGGAGATAATTCAAAAAAATCGCTAAATCGTTTTATTAAAGAATTAACCAATGGTGTTATCATATTAGCTAAATGGCGAAAATTTTTTTCTTTTAACATTTCTAGTCTAGTTTTAAGTGAATATAATGTGGGTAAAAGCTGACCGTAATAACATTGATTCTCACTCTGCAAAAAGTCTAAGGCACCAGCAATAGGCTTTAATAAAGCAGCTAATTCCTCTAAATACTCAAAATCTATATCTTTGAAACTATACTTAACATTTAATTCTTTTAACACTAAATTTAATTTATCTTTGTATTTCAAAAGCTGTGTAATACCGTCATAAAGAGAGTTCCACCGAGTAGGACATGGATATTTCAGTGAACAATTTAATATAGTATGGATGATTTCTGAAGATTTTGGTCTTCGTGACAAATTCCAGAGTGTTGTACATTTACCCATAACAGAATGGTTGATTCTAGATGCTGAAGTCCCTTTTAGAATTTTGTTAAAATCTGTAGTCGCAATAAGACTCAATGTGTGACTTGCACAGCGTAAATGATGAGGCAAAAAAATTTCAGTTTCTTGTGTCATGGTGTCATCTACATCGATACTTTCAAATGTAGCCACATCGTCATCAGTACTTTCTTCTTCGTCTGCATTTTCTCTATCATCTACAAATTCAAAAAAATTTAATTAAAACAAAAACCATAGGTACACCATGTATATATTTATATATTTTTTCATACCATTGATTTCTAAATCATCAATTTGAAAATTCCAATCCATTACACAACCAAAATCTTTAAATGCTTTTACAAAATTTGAACCGTTGTCGGTAACAGTTGAAATCAGCTGTTCTCTTTCAATTGAAAATTCGCATATTATTTCATGTAGCAATTCAGCAATTTTGTCATATGTGTGAGAGCCACGAAATCGCCTGCAGGCTAATACACAACTTAAACGAGTTAAAGTGTTTTCATCAATCTAAAATATATTAAAATATTATAGTAAATGTATTAGTTTATATACTAAAATAAAAATAAAAAGTACCCAATGCGCTGTGACTCCCATAAATGATTTGTGTTTTGTTGACCAAATATCAGCTGTTGTACATACACTAGGTCTTGGATCAGATTCAAAAACATTTTTTAATTTTTCACAAATAAATGTGTAATTTTCTAGAATGCGACGGCTTAATGTTCTTCTCGAAAATATTTTTAAAGTACCATCAATATCTATTAAATTATTAGAAAGAAACAACAAGTTATGAGTTATAGGATTAATAAAAAATCCCCCGACGAACAACGCCGGAAAAAAAATCCCCGACCCTAGGAAAAAAAATCCCCAGACTACAATATTACTCACAACCTCTTGCAAATGGTTGAACAAATATGTTTTAAACGTTAATTAGTATCTATAATTAATATTTAATTACAAATACGTATATTATATTCTATTATAATATAATATATTACCTACATAAAATATATAGGTACCTATATTTTGTATAATATTTTTGTATAATATTTATATTTTTGTACTGTATCATTATAAATATTTTTATAATTTTTTTAACAATATAATAGAATATATTATATTATAATAGAATATAATATACGTATTTGTCATTAAATATTAATTATAGATACTAATTAACGTTCAAAATATATTTGTTCAACCATTTGCATGTGATTGTCAGTAATATTGTAGCTGGGGATTTTTTTTCCGATTAGGTACCCTTAATACACTAACCTTTAATCATCTTTATAAAATGTTCGTCTTCAACCGTTGATAATAGCTTCATGCTACAAACGACATAATTTAAAATATTTGTATCAAACGTTTTTTGTTTGGACTCGTTTTTTTGATGATCGCTAAAATACAAATTTAATTTCTGTTGTTTATGCATGTTTGGGTTTGAATCATTTAATTTTCTTTTTGTACCACGACGTTCGTTAACAGTAGATTTAATATAATTCTCAAATTCTTCTAGAACATTACTGTGAATTCTCTGAAATATAAAATAACATTATAATAATTAATAAAATAATACTAATAAAGTAATAAATAAATAATAAATAATAAATATTAATAATTAATAAATTTACCTTGATATGAAGGCGAAAATTAGAAGTGGATCTTAATGTGCCGCTATATTCTTTTTTGCCATCATTGCAGAGAACACATTCTGCTTTGATATTTTCATTTTCCATTGTCGGTAGTTTTTTTATTTTGAAATATTTTCCATCCAAAATGAGTGGAATAAACAAATTATTTAATTCAGACATATTAATATTATATTACATACAATCTGAGTCAGTATAATAAAGGCAAACGATCGTCACATAGTGACTCACAGTCCGCAGAACACCAGGTGTGTAGCCGGCAGTGTTTGTGTAAAAATCTAATCTACTAATTTTATCGTGTTCATTACCTACCTTATCGCGAAAGGTGTAGGTACTATATTAGTATATTACATAGTAGAAAAATAAGGTACAGTCTTACAGACGTAAAGTCCAATTCAAAGTACGTGTGTAACATAACAAAAGTGGTTTCTGACGAGTAAAAATAATCGTAAACAATTAATTTTTCAAAGTATCGCATTAATGTATCGAGTATCTTTCGATTAAATTAATTCATGAAATACTCGATACATTGACTAAAAATGTATCACGATACAAGATACTCGATACTTCACATAATTGTATCGAGATACAAGATACAAGATACAAATGTATCTAAGATACGTATCTTAGATACTTGTATCGAAGATACTGCCCAACCCTGTCCACACACCCTTCCACTTACTAACATTTTAATATTTTATTAAACATTTTTTGGTACTAGGTCAGTACAACTTAAAATCATATAACTCGAGTACTAATTTTTTTTTTAAGTTTTATTTTTTTTAGTTAAGCCAAAGGAATAGGCTAGATTTCATTGGTTTATATTATTATTAAAAATATTTATTTTTTTCATTTATTATATTTTAAATATGTCAACATATTACATTTTATAACAAGGTTTTTAATACCATTAAGAATTTTTTATTATTATAAATAATTATTACCATAAAGTGATTAATTATTATTTAACTAAATATTAAAAATTGTTTTTTATTTATTATATTATGATTCAATGTAAGTACCTATATTATCATATATTATTTAAACACATTGAAATTCACTTATAATATTATATAGAAATGTGTGTTAATTAAATTGTACTAATGATTACCCACTAATTACTACTGCGGAATATATTTTTTATATAGATTTATGCTAGGTATGGTTATATGTATATATTTCATTTTTTTAACTTAAATATCCAGTCAAATTTTTATTTTTTTTTTTAATTTTGATATCTTAATTTTATATACTGTTACGACGACAAAAAATTAATTCATACAATATTATGTTATGAAAATATTTTAATTACTTAAAAGAAAATTCTAAATTATCATAAAAATGTGTGAAGCGTGATAAATGGGACAAATGTAAAAAATATAAAATTTAAATAAATAAACTCATGATGTACACTAGGTACACTTTAATGCTATACATAGACGTTCTTTTGGACCAATAGGAACTCGCATATCAGTCGTTTGTTTGGTAAAATTAATTTCCAACAAACTGTAAAGCTTATCAAATGTTGACATTGACATTGGAGTGTAACTAAAAAATTTATCTATAAAGCAATAATGTCTTTATTAAAAAAAAAATAATAATAATTAATTATATTAAGTACAATTATAATTTTTATACTTATACCTTCATTTGTTCTTAGTTCATTATAAGTTACTATAAATTGCCCTTGATCCATTCTCCTAGCTAATACAGGATGAACACACCAACGTCGATTTTGAATTTTCCTCTTTTCTTTTTTCTTTTTTAAAAACTGAAGTGCGATAATCGCTAGAGTTGTTGAATCCATTTTTAAAAATTAAACTGAACACGACACACTCAACCAACTCAACCAACAGACTGAGCACGAATGAAAAATAATAACTTTATTTCAAATTGTTGTCTAATTTTAAAATTATCCCATGTTATATTTGGTGAACAAGGTAGAGCATTTCCAAAATTTATCACTGCACAAGTTTAAAATTTAAGCAAATAAGTAAGTATTATAATTTTTCAAAAAATACCGAAATCGAAAAATATTGTATTAACCCTACCAGGTTTCTTAAATAATATAATACTAATTCGCCGGCCGGTCGACTCTAGAGGAAACATCGACCGGACGGCAAAATCCGGTCGTCTGTTTGGACCCTAACAGGTTGACTGCCATGTAGGGTGAATTGACCCAACACGAACTTTGATGAGATTGCCATTATCATTTTTCATGAGTTCTTGTATTTTGATTTATAATTTAAATAAAAAATATCAATTTTACAAAAAAATTGCAAAGGACAATATTTCATTATACTACTTTGTTGAGTAGTATTGGACCGTAAAAAGTGTGTGGGGCTTATATACCCTACATGGCCTATGTGGAATACGTAGGGTGATTAAACCCTACGAGACGAAAACATATTATGTACCCCTATTTTGATACTTAGTAACTTTATTGAGTACCTAATAATAATAATAAAACAATATAATAACTTTTTTTATTTATACTTAGTATGTACCATAAACAATATTTTATTTTATTTTTATAAATATTTATTTTATTAAGTTGATAAACAAAAATTAAATGTAGTACAATCTCAACATTTTACAAATTATTTTTATGATATTTAATAAAACAGTCTCTACATATATACTCGTATATATATATTGCATTCATCACAAAGTGTCAAAACTTTTCTAGTCTTATTTTGCGCAGCCTTTCTTCCTAATGCTGTAGATATGGTTGCATAACACTTCTGACACATTCTTTTTTTTCCGTTTTTGCTGGTTACAAGATTATGATTGGCCTTAAGTGGAATGCTTTTTGCAATTTCTGGTTTGTGTAACAATGATTTAATAATTTCTTCTTTAAAGAACGTAATTTTTGCTTTATTTTTTGTGACAGATTTAAATAGAGATAAAGCGTTAACTACTGATGTTGATAATAAAATATCAAATGCAATTTTCCGATACCATTTCAGTGATCTTTTCAGTGGAGATGAATACGATGCCATTTGGTCAGAACGATCAATATATGATTTGCCCATGTTATAATCTTCTACTGCTTTCAGTTTTTTAATTATACTACCATATCTGTTACGTATTTCTATAGTCTCGTCCGTGTGTTTTGTTGTTATAATATGTATGTCACGTTTGTCACGCCATTTTAAAACTACTATATTAGAATTACTTTGTTGAGCAATTAGTTCCCCCTTTTTTAATTTTTTGCCAATAACATCAGGTGGGTTTCCTCGTCTATTTGCTCTTAACGTTCCTACCATATGGGTATTTTCTTTAAGAAGTTTTTCCGCCAATTCCACACTGGAATACCAATTGTCGACGTATAAGCAACGACCAAGATTAATATAAGGTTCCATAAGCTTTAATACTATTTTATACGAGACGTTAGTTTCACGAACTTCATTTTTACCGGCATAAATATTGTATTGTAAAGTATAATAGTCTTTAGCACAAAGTTTAAACATTTTAATGCCATACTTAAGTGTCTTATTTTTTAAATACTGACGGAATGATAATCTTCCAATAAACGGTACCATGCTCTCGTCAATACAAACATTTTCCTCGGGTATATAACATTTTTGAAAATTAAATACTAACATATCAATTAATTTTTGAATTTTACTTAATTTTCCATGTTCAGGATTTTCATTATTTGAACAATGGAACATGCATAACATTAATTCAAATCGATTTCTGCTCATAATATGTGTCACATAGTTTTTATACAGAAAGTTTTTTTTCCAATAATCACTCAAACTTGGCATTTGCACCAACCCCATCCACATTACAATGCCTAAAAAATTATTCATCTCAGTTCGGTCTACTGGATACCATTTTTTTATGCGAGAAAATGTTTTAACACTGCGATTTACAAGCGATTGGGAAGCATATCGATTAGTCTCTTCAATCAAAAAATCTAACACATCATCGTCAAAAAACAACTTATAAAATTCATAAGGTGAACAGTCTGCCATTGTTTGAATTATATCTGGATTTACACCAACATCCAAATTATTAGGATTAAACAGTATATTATTTAGATTACCTCTGATAGGTCCCCAGGTTAATAATTCTGAATCACTTTGGTTATCTTGATCTTCATTTTCGTCATTCTCCATCTCCATGTCAACATCACTTGCTTCGTTTACTTCTTCGTCGAAGACTTGGTTTTGGACATTTGGGAGAACCCATTCTGGATCTTCATCCGAGTCATGGACGAACTATTCAAAATTTTTATTTTATTTTTAATACCGCATAGAAATATTTTTAAATTATATTTTCATACTATATATTTACCTCATAATCATCATCTTCGTTATCGTACAATTCAGCATCGCTATCATTTAGCCAATCTTCAATTAATCGATCCATAATAGGTACTTTTATTGCAAATAATAATTAACATATAATAAAATTACCTAACGGTTCATACAGCAGTGCTATTGCGATAGTTGACAAAGACTAATGACAGTCCACAGATAACATTTTAAATTGTATTTATTCAATTTATATTAAAAATACTGAACATCGATAAGAATATGATTTAATATATTTGGAAAACACGGTCGTTAAAATAAAAATAAAGAGACATTATATCTCAAAACCATTTCATAGAACTTCCAAGGAGGCCACGTCAAAGTATTTTTCCATATAAAACTATGTATTGCGATGGATCTCAGAACCCTACGCGGCCTAGAAATATATTTTAATTGTAGGGTCTTCAGACCCTACAAAGCCTGACAGTAAAATATACTGTAGGGTCAATAGATCCTACTCGGCGATAATAGCAAGGCTTGTAGATTTAGCGTGGCAGTCAACCTGCTAAAGAAAAAGAATGGCGGAAAGAGACTGATTTTAACACCAGGACAGCAGGATTGTTAGCACTTGGTAGTTTGATGTCTGGAGGTGCTAGTGTGTATAATGCGGTTCAAAATTCAAAAAGAAAAAAAGGCAGTGGTTTGAAATCAAACAAGAATAGGTTAAGAATAAAAAACTGATGATCACGCTACCTGACAGACCGCTTTCGTCCCAAGATATTATAAAATATGTTGAAAAGTTTAAAATCAATCATTTCTGTGGAGTTTTTTCACGTGATAACTTACCTAAAAAACCGCATTCGATTGAATGTGGTATATTAAACTTGGATATATCTCCAGGCGACGGAAGCCATTGGGTAGCGTTTTATAAAAATAAGGACAAAGTTGTATATTTTGATAGCTTTGGTGATTTGTCACCACCAATTGAATTACAACATTATTTCAGACAGTTCAAAATAGTATACAACTATTCCAACTATCAAGACTTCAATACATTTAACTGTAGTCATTTATGTCTTGAATTTTTACAATGCATGAATCTATTACATTAAATTTTACTGGAAATTCAACTTTATTGTCAGCAAATTATTTTCCATCTCTAAACGTTTACGAGGATTCGGAAATAGCTTTGTTATCTTTGCAAACGTTCAATTCATTTCCAAATATTATAAATCCAATTAATAACCGGTTGAAATTAGAAACAATTCCTCCAAAGAAAAACAAAGAAGACTTTCGCATTTTTGAATTTTGATTGGAAGACGGATGCTATGAAATAGAAGATATTAACAATTATATGGCAAAAGAGTTATCTCAAGTTAATAACGACTACGGAGCACATCTAACATTCAGTATACGTATGGATTCTGTCGATTTTAGAACGTATATAAAATGTAATGGAATACTTCGATTTAATACTTCATATAGTATAGAACCTGTTTTGTTGTTTAAAAAGAAAGATTGTGGACCGTTTCATAAAGATCGTCGATCGGATAAAGCTGTAAATTTAAACACAATTAATTCTATATGTAATATAGCACATGGGTCATTCAACAACCAACTTCAAAGTCATTCGATACATGAGTTTTTCCCGAGTGGGAAAACCGGAACAAAGGTTGGTCAATCTCCGGTAAACCTTATATATTACAGATTAAACAAAACAGATATTAATTCAATTACTGTTCAGTTAGTTGACCAAAACAATAATCCAATTGATAATTTTAACGAGACGTTAACAGTTGTTTTACATATTAAACGTCACGGATCTCATCTTTAAATTTATATCTTAGATTTTGTAATGTACGAGTCAGTTACTTTAAGTTTAACTGGGAATGCTACCATATTATCCGTAAATTATTTTCCACCTATAAACCTTTACGAGGACTCAGAAATAGCTTTGTTATGTTTACAGTCATTTAATTCATTCCCAAATATTAATGAAAATAATAATAAAATTTCTATACAAGTAGTTGATAATGAAAACAATAATGATTCTATGATATGTTTTATTACATTGGAAGAGGGTTGTTATGAGATTGAAGATATTAAGCAACGAGTAGATGTCTATAATAAGAAAAACTTAACCAATTTAACATTCGACATTACGGTTGATCCTAATGATTTCAGATCGTATATAAAATGTAATGGGATACTACACTTTGAGTATCCATATAGTATAGCACCTGTATTTGGTTTTGAAAAATGAGTATATAAGCCATACGGTTCCAGGTCAAAATATCTCCGCAAAAATATCTCCGGTTAAAATATCTCCGACAAAATATCTCCGATACAAAATATCTCTAGTCAAATATATCTCCGATTTAAAATATCTCCAGTACAAAATATCTTCGATTTAAAATATCTCCAGTACAAAATATCTCCTTTTAAAAATTTCTTTATTGTAAATATCCCCCATGAAAATATTTTAATAATATGTAATTATTATTATTTATTATAAGTACAAAATACATTTTTTATTATAATA